TAATTGAGGATGGATCAAGGGGGATCATCAAAGGGAGGTGGTCCCTACATCAAAGGGAGTTGATCTCATTCCATGGCTCTTAGGCTATTCTGAGTTGAGGATGATGAGGAGATTTGGTACCACAAGCATGTAGAATTAGGTGCATGCATATACCCGAGTCTATGTGTATTAACTATGATTATTTGGATTCCTTGAATGATGCTTTAGGCTAGATTGATATAATTGAGTATGTGTGTCATTTTTGGATAATGGATAAATACGAATGCTTGTGTGAAGTCTAAATATGATGTATGTATGTTAGTACTACCTTATGCTTTATATATATTGTACATGGACAAGATGTATTCTTACTCCTAGTGTGTTGTTGTGTTTATATTTGAGCTGGTTGTAATTTATAAGCTTATCTCATGTATACGAAAAGAAGTTTGATAGAGGCGAAGCTTAATGCTTTACCAGTATTGTGATTTGTTTTGATAAGGTGACATCAAGGCTGAGAGTTTATAATTTCTTAGTCATAGTTGAAGTTAATTTTAAATATGATGATTTATGTTTTATGTTGGAATTTTGTGTAAACAAGTGGTTTGTGCCTTGTTTTGAATTTAGGCAATTGTTTGGTTTTCTTTTTTATTTAAAAAGCTTTGTTTAAAGAATTGTAAACCCCTTAATACAAAGTGATGATTGAGTATTTTATAAACACCTTTTAATATTAATTACATTTTATTAAAAAAAATTATTTAATTGAATTTGAGGTAAAAGAGTGTCACAATGAATCATATTAGTAGAACGTGTTCCTTGAGTATCCCTTGTTGTAATGCATTTGATAATATTACGTGTTTCTTGATTGAGTCTTATATTATAATTGCATCTATTGTGATTTTTGTAACGACCCGCCTTAGGTTGTCACATCAACAACCAACCGAACAACTCAAAATAAATAATAATATGAAAAGAAAAGAAAGAAAATGTCAGCTACCCTAGAGTGAAAATAATTTAAAACGTATAAATTGTTTTCATATAAAACGTGATTTTATAAAAGAGATATCAACAGTAAGGTTATACAGTCATCCAAAAAATAATATAGATACAACATCAAGAAAACATCAAAATAAGACACCCTAGGTACTAGTCAAGCTCTAAGTCAAGCCACTTTTTAAAGTAGCTACCAAAAGACTCATTGTCATCCCAAAGCCTCACACCTGATCTGCTCCCCCACATAGTGAGATCATCACAATCCATATCATGGAAATATAAGGGTTAACATGTATAAAACCAACCATAATACAATATAAATGAAATATCATCAAACCAAATATTCATCATCAAGATTTATCCATAACATTATTACATGCCCATCTCCGTGCCAAATATAAACAAATCCAAAATCTAATGTATACACATCCATACCAATGCATACATATTCTATGATAATAAAGAATCCACAACCAATGTATACAATCCATACCAAATGCATACATATTCCATATCCAAACCAAAGTCACACTACTGTATAATCCCATGAAGTAGCCAACACATCCAAACCAAATGTTGGCCTCAACCACTATAAGAAAAATGCAAATTTCCGACGAATATGGATCTGTCAGAAAATTTATATTTTCTGAAGGAAAATTTCTGTCGGAAAATTTTTGTAGGAAATTTCTGATGGAAATATAAATCCGTCAGAAATTTTCGACAGAAATTTTCTGTCAGAAATTTTCGATGGAAAAATAAATCTGTCAGAAATTGCCGATGGAAAATTTTCGACGGAATATTCTGTCGAAAATTTCCGATGAATTTATTCTTCCGTCAAAAATTTCCTACGGATTTATATTTCCGTCAAAAATTTCTTTTTTTAATTTCTTATTTTTAATTTTATTTATAATTCTTATTTTCATTTTCTAAAATTAGAATTTTTATTTTTAATTCTTATTTTTTTATGTAATCATCTTTTACTACTTTTTATTTTAAAAAAAAGATAAATAATTATCTTAGTTAGTTCCCGAGGAGATGGACCCTTTCAAGTCCTACAGCATATCAATGATAACACTTATAGGCTTGATTTACCCTCTGAGTATGGTGTGAGCCCAACTTTTAATGTCAGTGATTTGAAACCTTTTGTAGGGGCTAGTGAAGATGAGGATGACTCCTTAGATTTGAGGACGAATCCTTCTCAAGAGGGAAGGGATGATGGAAGAGCATGGACCAAAGGTCCAATCACTAGAGCTATGGCTAGAAGATTACTAGAAGATTTGACTGCTTCAGAGCTTGGTGAGCCTAATGGGCTTGGTGGGCCTAGGGTACTCTTCACTTGGGCTTTGCATGGATGACCACCTTCAATTACATGTTTAGTAGTAGAGAATTTCATTTTGTTTGGTCTTGTATTATGGACCATTAGTATAGGGCTTTTGGGCTTTAGGCTTGTTGGGCCTATTTTTGGGCTCCATGGGCCTTTGAGCTTTTGGTACCCAATATTGAGCTCATTTTCATTCTTGTAATTTTTCCTCTTCATTGTATTTGATTGGCCATTGTATTTAGGCCATTAGAATAGGACTATGCAAGGAATTCATTAATAGGTGTATTAGGTTTCTTCTAAATTGCATTTAGGAGTCATTTGGCTTGAATTTGGATCACATGACTAGGCATGGATGTGGCTGAACATGTGCATCCCCAAATTCAACCCAAATTACCTCTAAATTACATTTAGATGAGGTGTTATTCAAATTAGGCACATGGCAAACCAAGGTTTGAATTTCAAATTCAAATTTGAAATTCAAACTTGGCACCAATTTATCTACTAAGGATTGGTGCCAATTATGAGTCCATCCGCACCTATATATGGATCCTTTAGGCTTTGTATAATTCACTTTGAATGCAAATAGAGATTTATGAATTTTCAGCCAAGTCTCTCCCTCTCAAAGTCACCTAAAAACTCCTTAGTCTTAGCCTTAGGAAAATCATCTTTCCTAAGCTTGACCGTGGGATTTTCCTTTGATTCCCTAGCTTGGATGCTTCCTTCTTAGCTTAGGGAACTTGATCAAAGTGTCTTCTACTTGTTCATCATTTGAAAAAGAACATTCGTGAGTCACCTCAAGAAGAAGATCCGAGAGTTGGTGAAGTATCAAGGAGCAAGTTCTTTCGCTTCTTCATCTTTTGTCATCATAGAGTTTCTTGAGAGTGGTGTTATGATAGGTCGCTGATATATGAGAGTGGTGCTCAGATAGGCCACTGGATTTGGGTGAGAGTGGTGCTCAGGTAGGCCACTAGGTTGGGTGAGTCTCCTCTAAGTCCTTAGCTAGTGTTGGAGCGGAGTATGAGGTCGAGGGCTATTCCCTTAACCAAGTACTAGGGAAGGTGCATGGATCCTTGCGAATAGTCGGTGGGCGAACTCCACAAGTGACTTGGTAATGCATGCCAAGGTCATGGTAAGCCTGTGCCCAATTGTGTTATACTTGACGGTGGATCCAAACTTCCAATTGTGTAAGTGACATCATCTGAGTAAACCCGAGTGAGAATTTTTATCCTGTTTAGTTGTGACCGAGCGGGAGCATTGGGCGTGAAAATGGTTGGGGTGGTTTCGGTAGGATTGGGATGTCACTTTGACTCCTTAGATTTGAGGACGAATCCTTCTCAAGAGGGAAGGGATGATGGAAGAGCATGGACCAAAGGTCCAATCACTAGAGCTATGGCTAGAAGATTACTAGAAGATTTGACTGCTTCAGAGCTTGGTGAAGATAGTATTGGGATGGGTGACCTTCTGGGAAGTTTCCCAGAAATTGCGCAAGTAAGGATAATGAAATTTCTGTCAAAAATTTCTGACGGAATAAATTATTTTCGACGGATTTTCACCCAAATTGTTTGGGTGATTTAGTGATCAGCACGATCTAATTGAACTTGGGTTTCACATAAATGTTTAGAACAAATAAGCATAAATAAATATTTAATTGTTTATAAGAGTGATATCAAATTGGTGGACAATGTAAAACTTTTGGTTTAGTTACCTTTTAAGTTTCTATACTTTCATAAATTTTACATTTTAATCCTTATAGTTAAAACCATTTCATTTTAGTCCTTACACATAACCTTTTTGTTTCATTTTAGTCTTTGTCTTCTATTTTTATAGGAATTAAAGGAAAAATTTATGCAATCATAAGACTAAAAAATGAAAGTATATGCAACTTTAGGGACTAAAAGAAAAAAAAATGGTATCTATAGAAAATAAAATGAAAAAATTTTAATTATAAAAACTAAAAGGTAAAATTTATAAAACTATATAGATAAAAAAGGTTGTGGTTTCACTCTTCTCTGTATCAAAACTTTACGATATGTTGGAATCCACTTCTGGAACATTTTTAAGTTGAATATAGATAGTAGCCCCAAAGCAAACCCCCAATTTTCTAGTTTTGGAGGAGTTTTCATAGACCATCTTGAGAATTGGATAGAAAGATAAAAGGGCTATTCTGGCTTTACTTCAAATACAAAAGTTGAACTATTAACACATTTTTACGGTCTATCTATAATCCAACAACATGATTTTCTACATATAATGTGGGAACCGGATTCACATGCGGTCATTTCTCTTATCAAGGAGAGAGTTTGATTGTCTCACTCCCATGCTCTTTTAATTTCTATAATCATAACCTTCTCAAATTTGCCATAAAATATTTCTTTCCATCATGTTTACAGCGAAAGGAATAAAATATCATACTTCCTTATTTAAAATTGTGAATACTTTATTTAACATTTTAATTATATGATCTTTTTATCCTACTCACATACTTATGCTGCTGTTATTAAGAATATGATTGAGACCTTATATTTAAAGACCTTATACTAATAATACATAATAATTAAACTCATGTCATAATCAAGCACTAAGAAAAAAAATATTTTCACTTCTTCATATATTAATATTTTAATTTTATAATTAAATAAACAAAACTATTCACATATTATTTCCTAAATTTATCAAAACATTCCTCGGAATAAAGTTTAGCCAACCCAAGGATCTACCATTGCACACAAGTTGGCAGACGGAGCCGCGGAGGAAACAAAAAAATGAAAAAGAAAAAGAAGAACATGAAATAGTAGTGTGATAGAAAAGAAAAGAAAAGTCAAAATTCCATCTCTGTCCTTCTTCGTTTTCCCTTCCCTTATTCTCTTCTCTTCTCCCAATCCGAACCCTAACCCCTAACACACTCCATCGAATTCCTTCGTAATCCGCTACACAGAGATAAACGATTTCAATAATCAATTCTCAGCAAAACCCACCCGCCAAATTTGGGTTCCGCAAACCCTAATTCCCGATGGGAGAGCCCCTCCCTCCGCCGCCGTCGTCCACCGGCGACGACGGCGGCGACCCCTTCGCCACGTGGTACGGCAACATCGACTACCTCCTCAACATCCCCGCCATCGGCTCCGCCTGCTGCCTCCTGATTTTCCTCTTCGTGAAGCTCCGCAGCGACCACCGCCGCATGCCGGGCCCCGCCGCCCTCGCCTCCAAGCTCCTCGCCGTCTGGCACGCCACCGGCCGGGAAATCGCCCGCCACTGCGGCGCCGACGCCGCGCAGTTCCTCCTCATCGAGGGCGGCAGCTGCGCCGTCCTCCTCGCCCTCGCCGCCCTCGCCCTCGCCGTCCTCCTCCCGCTCAACCTCTGCGCCGGCACCGCCGTGCTCGACGACGGGTTCTCCCGAACCACCATCACGCACATCGAGAAGGGCTCCCCTCTGCTCTGGATTCACTTCCTCTTCGCCGTCGTCGTGGCGGTTTTGGTCCACTTCGGCATTTCCGCCACCGAGGAGCGTCTCAGGATCACGAGGTTCAGAGACGGTTACGGTAATTTGAGTGACCCCACCGTGAATTCCACTTCTATATTCACCATAATGGTTCAGGGTTTGCCCAAAATCATAGGCGCTGATAGGGTAGTGTTGCACGAGTATTTTCAGTATAGGTACCCCGGGAAGGTTTATAAGGTTATTGTCCCAATGGATTTGTGTGCGTTGGATGATTTGGCTAATGAATTGTTGCGTGTGAGGGACGAGATTTCCTGGCTTGTGGCCAGGATTGACTCTCGCCTCTTGCCGGAAGACGACAATGATGGCGGCGTTGGGACCGGCGGTGTCAACGCGGCCGGGTTGCGGGGTTTGGTTGTTTGTTGCTGGAAATGGTTGAAGGGTGTGTGTTTTGATTTCATGGCGAGGTTTGGATACAGTGATGAAGAGAGGTTGAGGAAGTTGCAGGAGCTGAGGGCGGAGTTGGAGAGTGAGTTGGCTGATTATAAAGAAGGGCATGCTCCTGGTGCTGGAGTTGCGTTTGTTATGTTCAGGGATGTGTATACTGCTAACAAGGCTGTTCAGGATTTTAGGAATGAGAAGAGGAGGAGAATTGGGAAGTTCTTTTCGGTTATGGAGCTGCGGTTGCGGCGGAACCAGTGGAAGGTTGAGCGGGCTCCTTTGGCTACTGACATTTATTGGAAGAACATGGGGACGCCGAGGATGTCGCTGAAGTTGCGGCGGGTGATTGTGAATACTTGTTTGTTGTTGATGCTTCTGTTCTTTAGCTCGCCCCTTGCGGTGATCAGTGCTGTTAAGAGTGCTGGAAGGATTATCAATGCTGAAGCTATGGATAATGCGCAGCTGTGGTTGGCTTGGGTGCAAAGCTCTAGCTGGCTTGCAAGCCTTATTTTTCAGTTTTTACCCAATGTGATCATATTTGTTAGCATGTATATTGTGATCCCGTCGGCTCTTTCGTATCTGTCAAAATTTGAACGGCATTTGACAGTGTCTGGGGAGCAGAGAGCTGCGCTCATGAAGATGGTTTGCTTCTTCCTTGTGAATCTCATCCTCTTGAGGGGTTTGGTGGAATCGTCGTTAGAGAGTATGATCTTGAAAATGGGACGGTGCTATTTGGATGGAGAAGATTGCAAGAGGATTGAGCAATATATGAGTGCATCATTCTTGTCCAAGTCATGCCTTTCCTCACTTGCGTTTCTGATCACAAGTACTTTCTTGGGAATTTCTTATGATCTCTTGGCACCGGTTCCTTGGATCAAGAGAAACATTCAGAAGTTTCGGAAGAATGACATGCTTCAATTGGTGCCAGAACAAAGTGAAGAATACCCTTTAGAACACCAGGGCATAGATAATAGTCTTCAGAGACCTCTGATGCAAGACAATGCTTATGACGTTGCCAATGGGGATAATCTAGAGGGACAAGATCTTTTTGTTTATCCAATGACTGGAAGCTCACCTGTTCCGAAGCAGTCATTCGATTTTGCGCAGTATTATGCCTTTAATTTGACAATATTTGCTCTGACTCTAGTATACTGTTCATTTAATCCCCTTGTGGTCCCTGTTGGTGCTGTTTATTTTGGGTATAGATATGTGGTTGACAAGTACAATTTTCTGTTTGTGTATCGAGTTCGTGGCTTCCCTGCAGGCAATGATGGGAGATTAATAGATACTGTAATATGCATCATGCGTTTCTGTGTTGATCTATTCTTACTTGCCATGCTCCTATTCTTCTCAGTTCAAGGGGACTCTACCAAGCTACAAGCTATATTCACTCTTGGATTATTAGTCATGTATAAATTACTGCCTTCAAGTAATGATAGTTTTCAACCAACTCTTTTGGAGGGCATTCAAACGGTTGATAATGTTGTTGATACTAGGCCCATTGATTATGAGGTATTTTCACAGCCCAGGTTTGATTGGGATATCTCCCAAAGGTGACTCATGCTTTGATATGCATTGCTTGCTATCCCTATGAAGATGTATCTCTTCCCAAACAAGTAGTATGTAACATCGAAAAAAAATAGTGGTGAGGTATGGGGACAGGGGTCACGTTGGGCCAGGGGAGAAGGGAAGAGGGTTCTGGACCTTCTGGTAACTGCTGTTCATAATTGGTTATACACGCATTTATGACATTTCAATTCTTCCCTTCCATTTCTTACCTAATTTCAAAGCATGGCCAGGATGTTAATATCTGGAATGTACCATATATTTTTGTGTGAAGTTCCTTGCTTTATAGTTTCTCCAAATTTGAGGCGATGTGTTCTCTGCTACCATTAATGTGTGCCTAACACACTGGCGAAATTCTGGGGGAATGTTGGGCTTATTTTAATTAGAAAAGGAGCATGTTGCTTGGGACAGAAGCGGTGGCCCCATTCCCACCGTCTACTTGCAAAGAAAATTAAAGCGAAAGCCCAATAATTCCCTTTTTTTTTTTTAAGTGTTTCCGAATAGCTCACTAGTTACTATTATCAATATATGGAAGAGACTCAATAAAACATCATATATAAAAATGATATTTACTTATTTACTACATACATAAGAAGCAAATAACACTAAATAATATTTTTATTTCTGTCTTTATTTTTAGGATTTAATTTAGTTTCTATTTTTAAATGATTTAATTTAATAATCTATATGTTAGAAAATATTCAATGATGTGTTTTTTAAAATTTGTTATTAATAGATTAATGAAATTGGAGGGAAGGATAATACATATATATATATTTTTTTTGAAAATTAGATGATTGAATTAAATCATTTAAAAATTGAGAGATTAAATTGAGCATTTAAAAGATAGAGAGGTTAAATTGAATAATAATTTACATAATATATTTTTTTAAGATAAATTTAAATTTTCTTATACCTATTTCATATTTTATTTTACTTATTTTGTAAATCATTATTTAATTTATCATTATATATTTGAAATGTTCAATTTAATCCTATTGATTTTAAAATATTCAATTTGTTCTTATAATTTTTTAAAAAATATTGAATGTTAATTTTTGTTTGATTTTATTAACGTCATTAAGTAAATTTAGACGAATGAGTGACATTAAACATTTTAAAAAAATAAGAGGATGAAGTGAACAATTTTTTTGGTACATGGAGAAAGAAAGGAAAAAAACACAAAGGAAACTAAATGCGAATAAAACTGACTCCCATAAAATTAGCTAACAGGAGGCTACGAGGTTGCTCAAGAACAAAAAACACAATGAAAAATCTCCCCAAAGTTAGGGGCAAACTTCAAAAATTAATCCGTGTAAGACCCCCTTCCCTCTCTTTTTCCCTTCCTTCACTTCCAACCACTCCAACTCTCTCTTCTTCCCTCTCATTCTCTTTTCTCTGAATTGGTGGCTTTAGGTGCTGAGCCAGGGGCGGGTGGAGCTAGTTGAGGGTGGTGCTTCCTTTCAAGTTTAACATTCTCCTCCGGACAAGCTCTTTCTTTTCTCCGCTCAAGCTCCCAGAACTCGGAATCTTCACCCGAGGTAAGGGAAGCTAGTTAATTTCTGTGTTTGGCCAGGAATGAGTGCATATGCTCATTTGTGGTTGAATGATCGCTGACTTTGAGCTGAGATTTACTGAACAAAATGGGATTTTGGGGTTTTTCCGGGGTTGGATAAATTTTAGGGTTTTTGATGATTTTGTGATTGCATGTTGGAAATGGATCGTTTTTATTGATATTTGATGAAAGAGGAAGCTTTCAGGTGGTTTGCATGTTGGATTTGTGGTTGTTTTTGCAAGTTTTGGTTAAGGTTTTCGAAATGGTGAGGCTGTTGCTGAGCTTCGCGCTGAGCGGGGTTCTTCGCGCCTGGGCGCGCGGCCACCAGGAGACCCCATTTGGCTAAGCTCGCTGAGCGCAATGATGAGTGCGCTGAGCGCGCTTGAGAATGTGGTTCTCTGGCTGGCCCGCGCTGGGCGTGACGTGGACCGCGTTGGGCGCGATGCCAGTTGTGGCAGGTTTTGGTCTTTTTGTTGGGCGCTGAGCGCTCCCCTTATCACGCTGGGCGTGAGACTCTTTAAGAGTCTCTGCCTTGTGGGCGCTGGGCGTAATTTGAATTGCGCTAGGCGCGAGACCAAGGGAGGTCTCTGCCTTCCCCGCGCTGGGCGCGAGTTTTGGTGCGTCGGGCGCTAAGACTCCTTGAGTCTCTGCTCGGCCGGCGCTGGGCACAAAGACTATTGCGCTAAGCGCGAGATAGTCTTGGGTTCTTTGGTTGAGTCCCGCTGGGCGCGGGCATACCTGCGCTGGGTGCGCTGGCCCCCTGGTGCTCTTTGGTTGCGCTGCGCTGGGCGCAGCCACGTGTGCGCCGGGCGCGGAGATGGGATGATTATGTATGAAGTTTTGTGCTGAGTTGAATTGAAATAGAAGGTTATGAAATGATGTCTAGCAGATAAAGTTATTATTGATATTAAATTGTATCTGATGAATGTGTTGAGAAGTGGTGTTATGTTGTAGCTGTTTTGTTGAACTGTGAAGTTGATATGTTGAGTTGTACGTTTGTGTTGTGTTGTGAGTTGATATGTTGAGATGTATAAGTTATGTTGTGTTGGAATATTGATGTGAGTTGTTGTAGGCCGCAAGGCTGAGTTGTTGTAGGCCGCAAGGCTGAGTTGTTGTAGGCCGTAAGGCTGAGTTGACGTAGGCCGAAAGGCTGAGTTGTTGTAGGAGATCTCCGAGTTGATATGCGTGACGACGCATTGTATGCTTATTGATGATCATGTTGAAAAACCGATGGGATGTATGTTGATGAAGTGTTGATAGTTATAGTTGTTTATATTACTTAAAACTTTCTACATGCTGTTTCTTTTTATGCTAGCTTACCCTTTTGTTGTTTCCATGTGGTTGGACTGCAATGATCATACTATGTATGGGAGCAGAGCAGGGATAGGTGGTGGATAGTGGTGAGTCTGCAGCTGGTAGGCGGAGCTGACTCCTATGGATGTTTTGTTTTGTTTTGTTACGGCTACTTGATATAGTGGCTTTGGATGTATTTTGTATTCTACACTCTAACTCTATTCGGATGTAGGACATTGTATATATTTATATTCTAGACACTATATTTATATACTCGTTCTATCCTGTCTCGAGTTTCCGGTGTACTGTGATGGTGAGTGTAGTGACCTGCCGGGTCGTTACAATCCGCACATTGATTCCTTTCCTTTAAATAATGTCGAAAAGCCAATTGACAATGCCAACGTTTCATTTCCACAATGGCCGCAATGATAACCCCATATCTATGAAATGTGTTTAAATCCTCCTAAATAAGGGTCTACGCACGAATAGAATCCAAAATACACATCACCTCGTTGTACTTTCTCTCCCAGGCCAACCGAATACCATGCAAAATGGCCAATAGCTCTGCCTAAAGATTATCCCCAACACCAAGACTACCACTGGCCATAAGCAAGCCCTACACCCTGTCGACTAAAACAACAACATCCACGCGGACTGTAGAAAACACTTCATCGTTACGGGCCTTCCAAAGAAACCAAAGCCCACAAAAGAAGGTGATCCCATGACTATCAAAACCCTCATGTAAAAGTGTTGGCCAGTGTAGAGGGACTAGAGTAAAAAGGTTGTAGCTGATACCTAGCCTCCTCCAAAATGACGCAGTCGGTCAACATATACCGAAAATATGTTGGAGATCCTCCTCACCATGACCACACCTCGTATAGATCGGATTCTCCAGGACATGCCTATTGTGCAAAAACACTCGAGAAAGAAAAGCATTACAACAAATCTGCCACATGAATTGTTTTAATGCAAGATAGTCATTGTGAGTGTACCATGTTGCTTCAAAACGGAAGGGTTTGCTACTATGCAGACATGGGAAACCACCACAATGGAGGACAAGGGGGTTGTGATTAGAATGACGTTTAGCAAGGAACTCCACTATTGCCTTTGGAAACTAAAGACACTAAGGAATATCACAAAAAGCACCATCTAGTTACTTATGGATGCTAGCACCTCCCATTCGATGACGATGAACACTATAAGAAATATTACACATAGTGACATACAAAAAGTATCATTATAGATATAATATACGTAACTATATATCTATTTGACATATAATTATACATAATTTTAGTGTTGATTTTGAATGAAATTTAACAATATATTTTGTGTGTTACTATAGTCTATATCCACAATTTTTAATAATTTACCAACATATATTGTATTTATTGTATGAGTAAAAGTAATTTTTAGTCACATGTATAGTGTCATTATATGGTGTGTCACTATATGATAATTTTCTTGTAGTGGCCAGGTGAAATTTCCTCCACTTGGTCCACGTTTAATAGTCTACATCACTCCTTGTTGTTAAAGAAGGTTGGAGCTTGTGTTACCAAAAAGGTGCCACCTTTCTACTCAGAAGGTACCTTAATATCATTAAAGTCCCCCGTTAGGATCCAAGGAAGGTGAAATCCATTACTGAAATTAAGAAGTTGATCCTATAACCTTTAACATGTTGTAGAAATGGGATTAACGTAGACTCTTGTACAAAGCCAAGAGGTAGCTCTTGAGAAGATGGAAATCGTAATAGCCCAAGCACAAACATAAACCATTTGGAAACCAAATAAAGATCCTTTTCTTTTTAAAGCCCACACTCCTCCAACGTATCCTTAGGCTTCCTAGATTTCCACTCTGGCATAGCCTAGCTTAACCTAAAAGACTTCAACTCTTGAAAACTATGTACTTTAAATAAAAATATGAGATCAAGTTATGTTAGATGAGAAACCTCCTAAAGTTGAAACCCTAACCTACCAAGATATTCAATACTCAACCTTTAATCAATTTGATTTAACAAATTACAGTAAATTACAAGGTACAATGCCAATATATCAAAATTTCAACATTAACGCAACTAATCAGTCACTTGTAATCAATGTTGATTTTATATTACCATCTTCTTGGTCAATTTCAATTACATGAATAGTATTCGGAGTATGTGTGTAATTGAAATAAAATATCTCATAAATCTTAGAATTCTTTAATCAGATTTATAACAAAATTGTTCAAGAGATATAAGGTAAGAAGATAAAGAACATAAAAATTTATACTGGTTCAGCCATCCACTTGGCCTACATCTATTTTTCTCTGATTTAGCACCCCACTACATCAAAGATCATTCACTGATGGAGGACCATCTATGGAACTTCATGTGGGACTCATCACTAGGCCAATGGCTAGGAGATTGGAAGATGATAGGGATCCGCACCTATATATGGATCCTTTAGGCTTTGTATAATTCACTTTGAATGCAAATAGAGATTTATGAATTTTCAGCCAAGTCTCTCCCTCTCAAAGTCACCTAAAAACTCCTTAGTCTTAGCCTTAGGAAAATCATCTTTCCTAAGCTTGACCGTGGGATTTTCCTTTGATTCCCTAGCTTGGATGCTTCCTTCTTAGCTTAGGGAACTTGATCAAAGT